CCCTACACTTTTCCCTCACCTAAGTCTTAAAATCCATGTACTTGGTATCCATTATTTAACTTCCAGGATGATTTTACCTAACCTTATTTTCTTTGTTAGCTTTTTCCTTAAAATCCTTTTATTGTGTTTCTTCCCTCCATGCAACTTATTTCATCTCTTGTATCTACCTTCATTATGGAGAAGTGGACTTCCAGTTTCTTCAGTGTTTTTTACAAAAACATCTTTTACTACTTAAGCTTTCATACCATATATAATCTGATGGTCACATATCTCTCCTTTTTTGGAAATCTTTTTCCTTGCGACCCATGATAAAGAAAGCGTCTTCTGGGCTTCCCTGGTGGCGCAGTGGTTGAGAGTCCGCCTCCCATGTGACGCGGAGCGGCTGGGCCCGTGAGCTGTGGCCGCTGAGCCTGCGCGTCCGGAGCCTGCACTCCGCAACGGGAGAGGCCACAACGGTGAGAGGCCCGCATACCGCAAAAAAAAAAAAAAGAAAGTGTCTTCTTACCTGGATTAAATGAGGAGGCTTGATTTGTTTTTCTCTGATTCTTCTTAGGCCCTATATTTCCATAAATAAGCTAGGACATAAAGTATTACGTATAATGATACAAATGTCAGCTTTCAGCTCTTTTCTAGCTATACGTTCCTTCCAGGGAAGTTGCCTGTTACTAAGGCCTTGACTGTAATAAGTGTAGGGCGGGCACGCAGCCCTGAGCACGAGACCTCGAGCACGCTTCCCTTAGCGCGAAATTGTTATCGCGAGACCATTAGAGGTCCGCTCCACCAATAGTCAGTCGCGTAGGGGTCCTCCCGACAGAGAGTACCGTGAGGGACGGGTCTCTGCCTTCTCGCGGGACTCTCCAGGCCCTACGGACTGAGGCTGCCAAGGGAGCTGGGGGTCCAGGGACAGGTTGAGGGCTGTGTCCTGCAGAGCTCCAGAGCCCTCGCCAGGACCGCCCACTGCCGGGGCTCAGGCCTTGAAGCAGGGCCAAACCTTTCCCCCATCCCCGCCTCCGGGACCTAATGGTGGTGGCAGTCTTTATGCACCACAGTCCGTGGGACCTGGCCTCTGTTTAAGCGGCCTGAGGAGCCTGAGGCCTGGCTGGGTCCTGAGCGCCTGGCTCCCTCAGTGATGACGCTGGGCAGGGTCTGGAGACCTGGCCCTGAGGACACCTCCAGCTGAGATCTGCCGCTTCAGCGGGACTTGGGTACTGGTGGGAGGACCCAGACTGGGTGATGGACCAATGCTCCCGGGCAGTGTAACCAGCTCGCGCAGGGACCCCCTCCTCTTAGCCAGGGCCTGGACCTTGGAGGGTGAAAGGTGAGCCTTGGGACCTTGCCCTTTCTCGTCAGAACAGAGAATAACATTCGTTTTGGTGGAGGTTTACAGGAACCTCATGACCTGACCTCAAGAATAGAGGAGGATCTGACACCAAGAAATTTGCAACAATTAACCACGCCGTTCGTTTACCTTTCCTATAAAAGGGCTTTGTTGAAAGCTTTTGGGGAGTTTGCGGCTTTTAAGGCATGAGCCACCTGTCCCCTCGCATGGCCCTGTGATAAACATTTCTCTGCTCCAAACTCCAGCATTTTGGTATCATTGGGCCTCACTGTGCTTCAGGTACACAGACTTGCACTTGGTAACATGACTATTAACTACATGTCAATACTTCAAAATCCAGTTTGTAAACTGATATTGAGCTACATCCTTTTATATCCAAATATACACTGAACTATTTCCTGTTGTATTTCTAGGTCAATATTTACAAAACCAGATTATTTATTTTCCTCTAAACCTTTTTCCTTTGTCAACTTTCAAGATCCTACAAAAGATACCACCGTTTATTCAGTTATTTATATTTAATTGTCTTAAACCATATTTGACTTTTTTCTCTTTATTCACCATTTCCTGTTATCTCAGCTTTGAGATTCTTTGCATTAACGTTTTATAAAGCTGTTACTGAGGTAATCATAGGACAGTTATATGCCATTTGAATAAATCAGAAACATGACAGCTTATAAAGGGTCAAAAGGTAGTAATAGTCTACAATATGGATTTAATATAAATATTATTTCTTAGCATTACACATAGAGATAATATCACTCGAAGTCTTCTAGTCTTGAACTCTTGGTTAGTTAGATTTCATCAAATCATAGAAGAATAGTCAATAAATATTCCACATGAATTTCTGAATGATTTTTGATTTGAAAAATAAACACTATAAGGACAAAACCACTATTATTCATGAACGACCTGATATGGAAAGATATATCCTTAAATTAAAACTTTGAGAAAGTACGTTATTCAATTTCTCTCTACAGATATCCCATATATAGTAACTAATTATATTTGAGTATAAAATCTTTCTCCTTGAGAAGATTAGATTTTATTCAGTTTTGTAATGTTAGAGTATCTCCTCTCTAATATACAGAATTTCTCTGACCTTCAAAGAATACTGTCTTCTACTCTTCATGATAATTGGGCCACATGGAAAACATGCATAATTAAAACATATCATTTATTATTTCCCCTTTTAAGAGTGGCATCTGCCTCCTCAACCTAAACTCAAAACTATGGACTGAAACAGGTAATAAAGTGTTTTGAAGCATTATTGTGAGTTAATTATCTCTTCTATCCTCTAAGTCAGTTATGAGATGTGACATGCCCAGAGGAAGGTAATCAGAGGAGGGAAGAGAAGAAGCCAGGTTCTGGAGTGTCCATTAAAAGACTTAGATGTTTAATCACTGTATTACTTTCTCAAGCAAGTTGTAGGGTTGCCAATATCATAGAATTATATACATGCCAGTAATCAAACATTCAATTTTTATTTTTATTTATTTATTTATTTGCGGTACGCGGGCCTCTCACCGTTGTGGCCTCTCCCGTTGCGGAGCACAGGCTCCGGACGCGCAGGCTCAGCGGCCATGGCTCACGGGCCCAGCCGCTCCGCGGCATGTGGGATCTTCCCAGACCGGGGCACGAACCCGTGTCCCCTGCATCAGCAGGCGGACTCTCAATCACTGCGCCACCAGGGAAGCTCAAACATTCAATTTTTAAATTGGTGGGTAGGGGCAGATAAATTTTAGAGCAGATTAATAAAATCACCTCTAGCCCCTCCTAGTGTCCATAATTAGGAAGAACCTAATGGAAAACAAGTTTTAAGGTTCTTATGTTAAACAATAATCAAAATCTTAGGAACTCTCTTACATTAAAAAATTTTAAAATTAACAAAAAAAAATTTTAAAAAGAGAGGAAGTTTTAACCACAGAATTTTTTTGTTAAAATTGTGTTACAACAATATTATCTCTGCATGCTGACTGTAATCCTCTTTAATCTTCAAAGGCAAACAGGGATAGTAACAATCTTTTTATGCACTCTTTTTTCTCTGAAAGGCTAGCAGATGTCTTATAGGAAGCACTCATACTATCAGTTAACCAAACCCAATTTCTATTCCTCTTTAACTGATCAGTGAGTGGATGCTTAGTTTCTCTGGAACAATGTGAAATTCTTAAGTGTCTAGAGTGATAAAGAGTCTTACTGCATTGTTGCTGTTGACTGATAACAACTTTCAAGCCCTCCCCTCCCCCTTTCCCCTTGGCCTCACATCTTGGTGAGTGATGAGAAAACCCAGTATTTCCCTCTCTTGACTATGATAGGGAGGCTCAAGTCATGCAAACCCAGCCCATCGTGGGGGAGAGGGGTAGGCAGAGGGAGTAACTCGAGTCCATCCCTTAACTACATTAAATACCAGAACCATACACCCAGTTATGTTTCACTTCTCATTGAACCTGAGCCCTTCTTTTCATTGAAAAAATCCTTTTGCTGCTTACTGTTTAATACGAGTAATAAATTTATTTCAGATCCATTGTGTCCTTTGAGTCATTCATTTTGATACCAATAAATTCCTAGGCATAGTGAGGAGGGTGAGGGTGCCCAGCATCTAGCAAATAAAATAAACAGGCACACATACACAGAAACCTAGGGAAATATTTCCTTTTTGGTCATACAAAGAGTTCTTGCTTTTTTTTTTTGGTGGGGGGGTGGGGTGGGCAGTAAATATGTAGAATCCACAAAACTGTATCACTTATTTTACCTATTTTTGCTGATTTAAGGAAGATGAAGTTCTATTCCCTGGGTGTTGAGAGTCTTAAAATGCCTAGATCCTCCCAATGTTTGAATAGGTGCTGGAGATAACAAGATGCAAAAATCTCAAATGGAGAAAAGAGAAGAAAACCTCTAGGGACAAATATTCTCATTTTAAAAGCAAGTTTGAAGTGACAGATGACTGCTCCTTTCTCTACTGAAAAAGTTTCCTCGGCTTCCTGTCAGGTAATGTGTCATTGCAGAGAGGCATTGAAGACTGGACCAAGGAGTGAAAAGGTACTATGAAATCAGTGTTACTTTAAAATTTATTTTTGGTTTTTTGTTTGTTTTAACCTATATAAACTATCTTATAAAGAAAGTCATTTAGACAACTAGATACTTGTAGGTAATCATAACCAACTTACAAAAGTATGAATAAAGTTAAAGAATAACTTTGCTCAGACCTATAGAGTTATCCCTAACAAAGGGATCTTACTAGTTTCAATAAAAGAACAAATCCTATGGAGTCTATGATATTTACTTCTGTCTTCTTCACATTCAAAGGAAAACAAAATAAACTCAATTACCCACATATTCAATCACATATTTTATTTTACTAATTCTCTGTAAACAAAATGCCTTTGGGACCTCTTCAATACAATTTAACAATAGCAATACGTCTGCCAAAATGTGCATTCCAAAGTTCTCAGTTGGATTTACTAAAGAGTTCAGAAAAATGAGCAATGTGATGCTTTCCTTGAGCAAATACACAAAATTTTGTCAATAAGCTTAAATTATTCAAAAGGTACCTAAATTTACCGAATACCTCAAAAACCTAGAATTCTTATTGTCTGTACAATGCTCACTTACACAAATATAATTTGTGTATGTATTTTGTCTAAAAATCTACTGTAGACTTTGGAAGGGATTTCAATAGGAACGTTTCCCCTTCACTTTATACCTAGTTGGAAACTGATTCTTCAACATATTCATAGGTCTAGAGCAAGTCCAATCAATGTAATTTATGATAGCCATTCTGACATTTAAGAATAACTATCAAGTGTGCCTTTAAGAGTTTTCCTGTCCAGACTAGATACCTTTATTTCCTTTAAGTAATTGTTAGATGATTAATTTCAAGAGCTCTAAATTATGTAGAACTCATTTTACTAATGTCCATTTTAATATAAACCTCACAGTTCAATTTTTAGCACTCAGTTTTGAAGCGTATTCTAACTCGGCAGGCACACAGTCAAGTTTAACACTCTTCTTGCATTAAAATAACCAAAACATATTTTTTATGTGGGATGGGGACACATGGACATACACTGTTGACTCTTGTTTATCTTTTAGCCAAAGAAAATACCTAAGTAATTTTCAGAGGTGCTCCTGTAAAATGATTCTCCTCCACACTGTACTTGAAATATCCAAATTTTGAGTTTACAGGAAGAATTTCACATTTACCTTTTACCTCTTGTTAGATTCAGCAATTTTTTCCACCTAGACATTGGCTTTGTTTCCTTTGTTATGATTAATGGAATTTAGCTCATATTTTGTCACAATAAATGAATTAACCAGCTATATTTTTAAAGAATTTATATATACTCCTAAGACCACATGATCAATAAACTCCTAGGAACAAAGTCTGTTGGCCAAAATTCCTTTACTCCCTATTTTTCCTTTCACTTTTTATCTTCTACTCTAAGGTTGATGCACAGGAATGCTTTGAACATTTGAACAGATTTTCCTGGAGTCCTCCCCAAAGCTCTTGTTTATAGAAGCACTGAAGATATGAAAGGGCCAGGATATTTCAAGGGTTCAATTCTTTTCTAGGTACCAAAGTAGAAATAAGGAAAGAGACAAGAATGCAGACTGGGACTAGATTATTTGAGTCATGATTACATAATAACATGTACCACATACA